CCAGTTAACTAATCATTAAATTAATTTTCCTCAAATATTACATTTTCATAAAGACTACATTATAAGGAATTTTAATTAGAAGTTTAAATTTTTCTGTCAGTAGATATAAATCCTGGAAACAAATGAAGTTAATTTTCATTGACAAAATTCTAAAAATGTCCCTTGAGAACAAAAATCATGGCTATCCACAATTTAAAATCAATTAAAAAAGTAGAATAAAAAAAAAAAAACTTTAGATAAAGGTATTTAAATTATTATGTTTTACAAATATTTGCAAAATATGAAAGATATATTGTAAAGTCTTTATAGCTTGTTAAGATTAAATATGAACAAAATATTTTCATTGACATATTTTGTATTTTACAAAGCAATGGAAACTAGAATTCATAAATATAGCTATGTGCTTGTATAGTTAGTGGAGTAGATGGGTATTTCTGAGTATGGTCAGTGGTCAGTGTTTGAGCTATGTTAAAAAGACAGGATTTCTAATGCAGATTATCAAGGTAGGTCAGCTTTTTCCACTTTGAAGACAGGAGTAAGACATTCTTCCTACTCCAATTATTCCCATTTGTAATTCCCTTTAATAGCAGAAAATGTGACAAATAAATCTGAAGGCATATCAGGATAGCAGGAGATGCTTTCCAAAAACTAAGTAAAGTATTAAGATAGGAAAATTTCATTAGAAACAAAGTAAACTCAGTAAATATAAAACAAATAAAACAAAGTTTATAAAAGTGAGTAGGGGCAAACTATGCAAAATCCAATCAAAAGAATAATTTTCTAAAAAATATATATATATATATATATATATATATATATATATATATATATATACACCATTTATTTTACATTCAACATCATCACTTGATAAGACACGGAGGTGTTGAAACAAAATGGTTATTTTTGTAGTGATTTTATAACATATTTATGTTATAATTTTTTTAAATAGATAATTATATATATATATATATATATATATATATATATATATATATATGTATGTGCGCTGAAAAGTTCTTAGTCTGACGAAGAAGCCTTTCTCTGACAAAACCATGTTATTCATTTGGCTAGATTTTTTGAAGTGGGTTAAACAAGGATGTTTTGGCACTCCTTTGTAAGGTTTGGCAGAGCATAATGACAGACAATAGAATGTGTGACAGAGAAATTTGAAGGCACATCTGAATAGCAAAGGATGTCTTCCAGAAATTAAGCAAAGTATAAAGATATATATATTTTTTTTAAATGATGTTCATCCTATACAAGACCCAAGAGCCACTAGAGGTAGAGGGTTACAGAGTAAGAGGTACAGTTTATGATATGTGGGGAAGGTAACTTTTAACCATAGACTTGAACAGGTTAAGAGTGTAGTGATTGGGGAAGTATCTGCTTGAGAGTTGGTTCTGCAAAGCAATACTTCCTAAGAAGGCTGCTCCAGTGGAGCTTACATCTCACCAATAGAATATGAAAGGAATGAGAGTGGTTCATTAGAAACAAATAAAAGAGGACTTAACTGCTGTGTCATATCTTTCCTCTTATATGGCAGCGAGTGTAGGACAATTTCCTTACACATAAAGAAGAGACTTGAAGCAATAGTAATGTACTTATACATATGGATATTGAGAATACCAGGATCTAGAAAGATGACTTTTTCCATGTGCCATGTCCCTTCAGAATGTAGGCGATCATGGCTCTCCACAATTTCCTGTCCTTTGTAACTCTTAATAAATTTTATCATTTTGTTATCTCTCATCAACCTTGCTTCATCATCTATTTACTCAACCTCGCAAGGTAGGTTATACATTGTTTGCCTCAGCACCGCTTGCCTTCAATCTTCCTTGTGAGTATCAAATTTTTATGCCCACTTTCCTCATTAAGTGCCCTAAAAATTTCAACTGTCTTTTCCTGATGCTACATATGTGTACTTTTTGTTTCCATTTTCTCTACAATTTTGTTGTTGTTCACATGACTCATACTTAAAATCAGAATGAGAAATTTGAAATTTCTGGGACATATTATGAAGATGGATGACTTTTAAAATTGAATACTCACAAGACATATTGAAGAAAGGAGGGTTAGAGGGGAACAGCAAGCAACTTAACTAATAGGTTGGCGTGAATGCATAGCAGACAAGGAACATGACATGATGGTAAAGACTCAAATGTTGTTTACAGCTACAAAGGGCAGGAAATTGTGAAGGACCATGATCCCTCTGAAGGGATGCAGCACATAAATGATGATGATCATTCAAATGAATAAAATATTTCAGATATTCCATTTTTTTTATTGTTTGTCTTAATCATAACTGATCTCTAATCTATGTGAATTATTTTACATAATCATTTTGCAGCAAAAACTTTATGAGTTAGGAAATGAAGATGAGAACAACAAAGTTTTAGTGAAAATGAAAACAAAAGGGACACATACTTAACTTCAGAAACACATAGTTTCAATTTCTAGAGCATATAATGAGGAAAGAAGGCTTAAAAAATTTGAAACTCACATGACATAATGATAGCAAGAGGGACAGAGGAAAATAGTGCATAACTTACCAACTGCTCATGTATGGCAGAATGAAATTTAGGAGAAGATAGCAAAAAGAAAAAAATTACTAAGAGCTACAAAAGACAGGCAGCTGTGGTGAGCCACGATTGCCAAAGTTCTGAAGGTACATGGCATATAGAAAAAGAAAGGTGCTAAAAAAAGAAAGAAAAAAGTAAAGAAAGTATATGCTATAAATTTCATTAAAACGTCTGAATTTTATTTTTTGTGTCAAATTGTTATAGAATTAAGCTGGCACCAGTAAATTTTTTTAGTCCTTATCAAAACAAATAGGTAGGCAAATACTGACCATTCATTGCATTTTAAAGCCAGGGTTCTAAAGTATGAAAGGAATAAATTATTATATAAGGCTGTAAGGTTTTAATGCCAATGTCTTTTAATCATTAAAGATATGGTAGGTAGACATGAGATTTTTTTCTGTTTATTTTGCTGAAAAGACTTATTTATTTAAATTACCTTAAAGCTTGCAAAAAAGACAAAAAAATGAAAATATATTCATAAAAAAAAGAAAGAGTTTGTACTTATAGTAAATATCTTGGATGATTTTCAAGTTATTCTTGTCTATTCTAAATTAAATAAATCATAAAATGATTCTTCTGCACACCTGTAAAAACTAGCCTTCTATCTATCGTGGCCTCTTTTTCATCTGCATCAAACAAACCTAAAAACCTAATAGATAACCCCAATCGTAATAAGGAGGCGAAAAGAAGAATGAATTACATAGATTTTTCTTTGGAAAACATGGTAAAATAATTACTCAGAATAAAGTAAAGTAAAAAGAGTAAAGACAGAATAAAATTCTTACCTAAGCAAAAATATCATTTTGATAATTAAAAAAATGCTTTCTCTTCTTATTTTTTGCATTTACATAAACCAGCAAAACATTATTTTTATTATCCATTAGACACTTTTAAATAATTTACAAATTGAAAATATTTAGTTTTTATTTTCTTAAAAATTAAACTAATTTCAATTATGGCGATTTTTGTTAAGATGAAAATTTGAAATTAATCAACCAATGAATTTAATATTTTCACGTTTAAATTACAAAGATTCTGTCTTATTCTCTGTAATAAACAGCAAAAAAAGGAACCATCTACTGTAAACAAGGAAGGAAAGGTTACTGATCTCACCATGAGTTTTCTTTTAGATTATTATAGAAAATCCACAGATCTAAGTATTTTTCGAAGTTGTACAGTTATTTTATTAAGTGCAGCCTAACATTGAGAGATGCTAACTTATTTTTGGCTATTTGACCAAAAACACATAACAAACCAATTATTTTAGAGAATGGTCAGTTGCCATCTGCATCTTAGAAACATTCTTGAAAATACTTTATGATGAGCAATGTAGATTTTCTTATTCAAGTTATTAACACTGAGTGACCATTAGGATATGAAAAAAGAAAAACTATGTATTTAAGAAATTTTACAATATTGCAAATTATAATAATTTTCTTAACTAAAAATTTGATTTTTTCAAATAATTACTCAATTTACTTTACATTGGTTTAATTTTTATTTTAAAATTTTTTTCTGAGTGAAAATTTTTTATTGTACAAAAATAAAAAAGTTATTCTTTTATTGAAAAAAACAAACAAACTACAATTAAGAAGATAAGAAGCTTCTAGAATTAACAAGGGACTTGTATCCTTTTAGAGCTGAAGGACTCATAAGATATAGAACTTATGTCTGTTAAATTGTCAGTTTTTATATATTGAAACAAATAAGAATTCAAGAAAAATTTTAAAAGATACAATTATGTAATAAAAAACACAAAAAAAAATTATGTAATGTTTGTACTTCGGACCGTGAAAACAATTTTTGTAACAAAAAAAAATCAAGACATTTTGCATTTATAAATTATTGTAAGCCATTACATTTGGAATAAATTCTAATGTGAAAAAAAAAAAAAAGCAGATATAAAATTATAATTTCTAGACAAGAAGAAGAAGACATTTCATTTAGTATTCCAAATTTTTGTTGTTTCTTCACAAAAGAAAATAAACCCAGAACTGGAAAATTCAGTTACTTTTATTTATTTCTTTTTTAATACACGTGGACTATGTAAATAATATTGATTTATCAACAATGACAAAAAAATCATCCTTATTTTTTAAAATGTTAACTAAAACTTGTTTATTTTTTAAGGGAAAGTTGTCAGTTTTCTGTGTGACTAATGCAGGAGAGTTTGTTTTCATCCAAATAAGATGAAAAATATTACATCAAAATCAATTTAAAAACATCTCTACAAAAAATATTGAATAGTGAGAATTTAAAGCAAAATATTTTAGTTTTTTTTTTTTTTTTTGGTAATTAGAAAGTAATTATTTCTATAAATATTTCATCAGTTCTCTACTTTCAAAATTATTGAAGAACTAACGATAGGTAGATAGATACATAAAGACACACAGATAAATAGATGAAGACATAAAAATAGACACATAGATAAATAAAAAGGCGCATAGATAGATAGATAGATAGATAGATAGATAGATGTGAATTTCTCATGATGACTGATTTGTTGTTTAAAGTTTCCTTTAAAAATGGCTCAATATTACATTCCAAAAATAATTAGTGAGAAATCAAAAAAGAAGATATGTAATTTAAAAATTTATTCATTTGTTACGTTTCATTATAATTTTTTTAACTTTTTTTTTAATTTCGTCTTCACTAGAGAAAAAGAAAGCGAAACATGTCAATATTGTAATTAAATTAACTAGTAAGTGGAAGGAAAATCTGATGGAGTAAAAAGATCTCATGAAGAAAAAAAATCTTAAAACTATGGGAAAGTTAAAAGCAAAAAGCACCAAGAATCAGGAAATCTTTACAGCATGGAAAAAAACTAACAACGGAACCAGTAGAGATGGTTTAGGAAGGAAAGCGTGTAGACACATCAGCTGATTTCTTCATATGCTTATTTTTATTAACGTTTAAGGCTAACAAGAAGAAAAAGCAAACATTTATTTAAAATCCTTTACCAAACAATGTGGCACCCAAATTCAGACCAAAAGTTTTTTTTTTTTTTTTTTTTTTTTTTGAAATCTTACCATTCAGGCAGAAAAACAAAAGAACGGTTCCGCATGTTTGTTCTACAGAATCTATTCTACACTTTCGTTTTTGTTTTTTTACTTTTTTTATTTTAGTTCTTTATTTGTTTAGTGTTCTTTTTAATTGTTATATTTTTTAACGCCAAACAAAAAATATTGACAATTTTCCTATGTCGGGTTTTAATTTTTAATAAATTTTTAATTTTTACCTTCAAAGTTTTTTTTATTCATATATAAAAAATATATGCAAAAACAAAATTACTTACCTATATCAAAAATGTACCAGTCGAGGTATCGAAAAATCCGTCGCCCTAATTGGCATATATGATTCATTTGTCCATCGAATTATCCTTCACTTGGAAGGATTATTATTATTATTATTATTATTACTTTCTTTTTTTAAAGAATAAAAGAAAAAAAATGATTTGACAAATAACAGGGGTACCACCCGTTTTTATAATGATGTCCGATGTTTACATCTCCTGTTTAAGACTATCTTTCTTTCCCTTACCCAGTCTCTCAATGTTTATATATACACATATGCTGATCAATATCAGTGTGTGTTATTGTGCCTGTCTGTCTTACGCGTTGGTCTAATTTCTATGCACATGGGTAACTAACTCTATATGTGCACGTGTGTGTGGGTTTCCAGGGTATATGCGGGCTGTGTGGGTATCAGATGGCCTCTGGTTCTCCGGAATGGTTTTCTGTCTCTGTATGTGTGTGGGGTTTTTTAGAGGTGTTTTAACCCACGACAATACAATAATAATAATAATATCACAACAATAATAACAAGGTGGGTAAACGTAGCAGTAGTAGCACAAGTAAGTGCTTCTAGCAATAATTACAGGTCAGTTAGAGACAAAGTTAAAGAACCTCTTTCCGATTATGTACAGAACAGAAACGGAAGAAGAAGAAGGAAAAAAAAGATGATAATATTAATAAACAAAAATACAATGTCTGTCACTAATGCCAAAATGGTAATATGGTTTAAAGATGATGGTCATTAAGGATGAAGAAGAGAAGGGAAAAGCAATCGTGGGGGTCGGAAGCGGTTGTATAGCTCAGGTCCTGCTTTTGTTTAGAGAGAATAATCATCATCAGTTGCTTCTCCAAGTCAACGGGGGGAAGGCCTGAATGCAAACACATCTGTCGTTAGAGAGATTGCAGAAAATTCCAAGGGATAGACAGACACGTCGGGGAGGATGGATGAGCAGGGATATGGAGAAATGTAAAGTGGGGCTGGAGAAAGAGAAGGGGAAAATACTGGTGTGGAGACAAAAAGAAGGCGAGAAAAAAACAACAACATAGAAGAGTGTTTAAAGATGGTGCAAAGAAAGAAAAAAGAAAAGAAAAATAGAGACATGAACAATAAAAGGAAAAGTAGATAAAAAAGACGAAAAATAGACGAGGAAGGAGAAGAATTATTTGAGGGGGAAAAGAATAATAATGGAAATATAGAGAAACTGAAGAAGAAATTATTAAGAGAAGTGGGTAAAAATCTTTAATTAAATAAAGTAAAGAAGAAAGAGACAAAATATAATATTCTTAGGATATGAGAAAGTGTGCAGATAATTAAGAGAAATATAAAATGAAATCAAAAAAAAAAAGAGAAAGAAGAAAGAAATAATGGGAGGAGTCAAAACAGTGAAAAAAAGAGATTATATTGATATGGGTGTTGGGGATAGAGACAGAAAAAAGAGGAAGGTGATAAAATAAAAAGAAAGAAATAGAGAGAGTGGAAAAGTGACTTATGTGAAGAAGAGACAGTAAAAGATAATGAGATAAAGAAAAAGAGATAGTGAACTGAAAGGTAAAAGTAAAACGATTAATTTTGTAGTGAAGAAAATAAATGATAATAAGAGAGAAAAATGACAGAGGATAGAAAAAGAAGAAAAAATAATTAAAAAAAAAGAATTTTATTTTTACTGAAATAAAAAAAAAGGAAGCCATTATTGTCCTAATGACTAAAAAAAGGAAATCGTTTGAAGTTAAGAAACTTTATTTTGGGGGGAGTTATTTTATATTGGTAATCATTCTGATATTGACAAAAAGGGACCACAATAATTAATGAAGAAAAGGGCAAACTAATGATAATAAAGAAATATAAACAGAGGCTTAAGTGGAGGAGATATAAATTAAGGTGAGGGAAAGACTGTAGTGTAGTGTAGTGTAAAAATAATCAAAAAACAAGAAAGGATGTAACGTAATGATGAAAAAGTTTTTATTTTAACACAATAATGCTCTGAGTTTATTTGTGAATATATGTCAGACAACATTAAGGTGAAAAATTCAGATGAAAATCTAGTTAATATTAACAATGTTCAGGCTACGAACATATTGATTCTGTATTGAGCCTCTTTTAAAAATTAAATGTTACAGTGGAATTATACTTCATTTGTTCTTACCATACTGGGATATATATATATATATATATATATATATATATATATATATATATATATATATGTGTGTGTGTGTGTGTATGTATGTATGTATATATATATATATATATATATATATATATATATATATAAATATATATATAATTGATATATACATTATCAATATATATATATATATTTATTATTATTAATATATATATGTATATATTTATTATTATTATTATTATTGATATATATATTAATATATATATATTATTATTAATATATATATATATATATAGAGAGAGAGAGAGAGAGAAAGAGAGGAAAAGAGAGATATTTTGAAAGAGGAACTAACATCTCAATGTGTGTGTAACATCAATCAGTTAAGTGAAAAATGTTATATTTGTATTAATCCGAGATAGATATAGTGTGGACATCGGAAGTCTTCATGGTGACTGTCAGTTTTATGAACTGTCTATATCGATAAAGACTCTACCTCTGATACTGAACACTTCCCATATAAATATAGCAAATTTTATAAACACATGCATATGTATATGAGAGTGAGAGAGAGAGAGAGAGAGAGAGAGAGAGAATGTGATGAACACTTATTTGCCAACCTGGAGCTTAAGTGTGATAAAAACAGGAACCCGTGTGAGTGTGTGTATATATATATATATATATATGCTTTATTATGCATGCAGAGAAAATGATAAGAGGAAAGAAATAGATAAAAATGAAACGAAAAAAATAAGAGGATAATGAAAAATAAGTCAGATAAAGAGGGTAATGGATGAAACAGAATTTTTAACTTGAGGGATGAAACAATAGAAAAATCAATAGAAAAAGTTAACATATTCATTCAGCAACAGGTTGTGCTTCAATTTATATAGACTTGGACTTATAAAAAATTACCATAATTTTATCCTGAAGCTGCAAATAAAAAATCTATTTATCTTTCTTTCATTTTCTTACACAAGGTTTCAGAAAAATGGACAAGTCTATCAATGATATTTATGCCTTGTTAAGATATTTTGACAAAGTAGGGTATTGATAAAGAAAAAAGTTTCAAACTTTATTTGTAAAACAAGAGAGAGCAGAGAAGAGGAGATAAATGGTTGAAAAAGAAAGGGTAAGTTCAGAATCTTAAGAGAGAGAAAGCAAGAAGGACAATGCTCAGTTTATGAGAAAGATAGAAAAACATGAAAGTCAGATGGACAGGAAAAGGGAAAAAAGAAGAACATTTAAGATGATAAAACAAATAAAAGAAAAGAAGAAAATAAAACAGAAACATATCCAACAGATGGTAGGGCTTTAATTACATGGAAGGAAAAAATAAAATCCATATTTCTCTGAAAATATATAAGAACTGCAATCTCTTACATTTTATGTTTTAGATATATATTTGTGTGTTAAGACTTTTCTTTCACTCTGTATTCTGTCTCTTGTGTGTGTTTGTTTATGTTTCCAAGGGTACTAAAAAGTTCACAGCCCAACCAAGAAGTACTTCAGAAACAAATAAAATGATCATTAGTATAAAAATCTATTGTAAAATGAAAGACAGATGGTGAGTTAAATAAAAAAAAATGGCTTTAATGGGTAAAACTTTGTATATGTGAGGCTCAGATTTAATGTGGTAAATACCCCCAAAATAAAGCATTAAATTTCATTTGCTGTAGAAAAACGTTTATCCTACCACTGAAGGTGACACTGATCCCTGAAGAACAGTGTGTTTGGATTTCAGAGTTGTGTTGTCATATCCTGCTATAGTAGTAGATATCAACTAAGAGTGAAATTAACAATAAGCCTACCACAATTGAGAGGCCTTGAAAAAGAATGCAGCAGAAAAGGAAGTAATATTATGCAGAGTGCTAAATGTTAATGGAAAAGATATATATGTAAACATTGTTTTTCAAATTAGTAAAAAAGAGGCTCCAGTCTTTGGGCTCAAAACCTGCCTAAATATATACAGGGTGTCCATAAAGTTCGTGTGCACATTAAAAAATTTATAACTTTATTTGTATTTGCGATAGAAATAATATGTAAAAAGGATTAGAAAGAAGTAAATCTATATTTTTTAAGGTTTTATTGAAATTTTATTTAAGTTTCCAAGTGTCCTCCATCATTAGCAATACAAAGGGTAATACGATTTTGCAGTTCACGGAAAAGATTTGCCAACTGATTTACAGTAATGCCTGAAATCACAGTTATTTTAGCTATACTTAAAACTAGGTACATTAAACTTTATAACATTTTTTAGAGATTATGTTAATCGCAAATACAAATAAAGTTATAATTTTTTAAAGTGCACACGAACTTTATGGACACGCTATGTAGTGAAAATTTACACATCATAAGCTAATATATATATATATATATATATATATATATATATATAGATATATAGATAGATAGATAGATAGATAGATAGATAGATAGATAGATAGTGTATTGGGGCAGCAGATCATTATTTAAACATATATTGTTAAATATAACAGACAATGAATGTATATTTGCTTTAATTTTGTGGGAAAATAAAAAAAACTTTCCAGGAAGATAATGATCCCAAACATACATCTACATTAGTGACTGTGTGGCTTCAGAAAAAGATTACAGTTCCACCATGGCCTTTAAGGAGTCCTATTGAAAATCTATGGCAAGAATGAAAAGTTTGAATAAATCATTGGTCACCAAACACCTTCAGGAATTAGAACATGTAATCATTGAAGAATGGAAGAAAATCCCAGAAAAGACTTGTTCAAATCTCATCAAAAACTTTAGAAAAAGACTTCAGCAAGTTATAAAGATGAGAGGCCATGCTATTGACTATTAATATTATGAAAATTGTCCAATTTTTTTCTATTTTTCATACTGTACAAAAAATTTTGTCTTTTTCTATTTTGCATGATTCATCTGTCAAATTTGTTGTATTTAACCTATTGTTCTGAGTTTTATATTCCTTTTTTCATGCTTATTAACATATAAAAACCTGTCATCATGCAGGCATTAGATTCTGAGAAATGGATAAAAATATTCAAAATGGATGGGTGTATGAATAATTTCATTGTTGATTGTATGTATATATATATATATATATATATATATATAGATAGATATATATACACACACACACACACACACACATACATATATCGACACATATACACACACATATAATCACAGACAAATAAAAAAAATGTCTTAATTAACTAATTAAATTTCACCTTTAACTTTAGGAAAAGAGGTAAGCATTTTTTTTTAAATTTCCCTCAAAAATTATTTTATAACCAGTTACCTACCATCACCTGAGGAAGTACAATCATAGTAGTGAAACATGAAAGTTTTTGTGTAGCAATTTAAAAATGTTTTTATTATAATCTATCATAATATATATATATATATATATATATATATATATATATATATATAAATTTCAAGTGGATAGAATCCAGGTAGAGCTCAATGTCCAGGACAGAGCAAGAATATAAATTGCTCAAACACTAATATTCAATGTTTAGTGTTTGAGACTTTTATTATATATATATATATATATATATATATATATATTCACATACATACATGCTTGCATACATACATACATACATACACACACTTATAAGAAAGAGATTCTGAAAAGGTTTTGTCCCAACCCACTTCTCAAAATTCTGTAAATTGCTATGTAACAGATTTTTCCATTGGAACCTTTCGTCATTGGGCCAAGAACTTTTCCATACTACCATATACATATACATATATCCCTGCTGTCTTATGTTACTGTAACTGTCTTGTCACTCTTATATACTTCTGAAATCTTCAGCTGGCAAAGTAAGCAAATATTCACATAAATAGTTCCCTTCTTTACTGTCTGGATATTACAGAAGCAAATGAAATTCGGAGATGGGTAAGAAATTAGAAACATTTATTATATTAAATTTAAGTTAAATTTCAATTATTTTACATTGAGCATTTTTATTTGCTTCATTACATTTTGTATAAATATTAAATATATCATAACAAATACAATTTACTTACCTTTCCCTACTTTCATGGAAATTTATCCCCTCATCAATGAACTTGATAGTAAAATGGAATTTAATTAAATGTTTTTTCTTATATATAACAATGAAAATAAATAAATAACAAGAACAAAAGACTTCTATATGTATATATAAAGGTGTAGTTTAGTTTGCATGTATAGTGATATTAAGAAAAAAAATTCTACTGGTTCTAAATTTAAAATGTTTTGATGATTCAATTGAAACTATCTTACTAACAATTTCAAATTTGGAAGTTATAATTAGCATTTATTCATTCTTAAGAGTATAAATATGAGATTTATCAAATATTTTGCACTGATGAGCATTTTAACAAGACTTTTGAGTCAGTTAATCAGATAAGTCACTTGAACTTTTCTTGTTTTACTGAATATATATATATATATATATATATATATATATATATATATATAATAAATAATAGCTAGCCATTCATCACTCATATTTGAGAATAGCTGTCTATTAGGGTGGCTACCCAATCCCTACTGCAGGTGCTCGGTCAGGCACATTT